CTCCAGCCAAACTCGAACCGTCGACCTTGTCTGTGGGGGGACGGGAGCTTATCCATTAAGCTATGGGACCCGAACCCTAAATGAAATATAAATTTAAATTGTATAAGCAGATTTGTAATATTGATTTGTATTCTTGGATTTGCAATCTGGGTGTTTTAGGGGGCCAGAATGCCCAAAAAAAAAGAAAAAATTTTTAGCAAAAATTAAGTGCAATTTTTGTAATAAAGTTTTAAAGTATTTTAATTATGAAATTATCAGTTTTAGCTCATTTGTAATATATAATATATCAAATTGAAGCTAAAAGTGAGGTGAATCTTTTTGTTTTAATAAAATTTTGAGTTTTTTTAAGAATAAACAAAAAATTAAATTTAGTTATATCTCTATAATAAAGAACTTTAGAGATATAAAACTAAACCGTTTATATGTAAAATTTTGTCAAAAACAATTTTACTTAGGCAGCCAAAATATATTTACTTAATAAAATATTAAGACAAGTACAGTTGTTTTTAGAGAAAACTTAGTACAAGTGATTGTCAAAAAGAGTTAGTGATTTGCATCTTATGATTATGGTATATTTCTACACAATTACATTATACATCTACTATGCAAATTCTTTCAATTTTGTAAAATGATATATCACCTTTAATATTGAATTGTACATATATGAATGCTTGAAAAGAAAAATCAGTAAATAAAAATTTATTACCTAAATTGTAATCCTGGTCATTTTAACCCCCTAGCATCACTATAAAAAATTTCGCTACTATTTTACCAGCCAATCAGAATTCAAGATCTGGTGTAATACAAAAAATCAAAAAATCAAAACAAACCAAAAAATCGTTTATAACTCAACATTTTACCTATGAAACTGCTTTCTGCGTATTAACAAAAAGTTTCTCTTGCAAAATTTTGTATTAGAAAAACTTTCTTTAACCTAACTTAATAGCAAAACCTAACCTTAATTTAATTGCGAAATTTTTTTTAGCAAAATTTTTTAAGTTGGTGACACTAGGGTCTTAGTCATTTTGATATAATATATCAACACCAGATAGTATTTGGTATTAATATGTTCACTTGATCGTATATGTGATTAATTACATAAAACCAATTCTTCAAAAGATAAATTTTTACTTACTAGCTTTCTCTCTCAAACACTCTATTAAAAAAATTTTTTTACTACTGTATATAAATTTTTTTTACTGGATATTTGGATTGTGACAATAAAATTCTTGAAATTCTTTTTAAAAAAAATTTTTTTTTAAAAAAAAATAAAATCCAGGTCACCGGATCACTAAATATTAGTCGGCGATACGAAAGCAGATGTATAAGCTTGTGTGGTTTAACTTGAAAATGATGGTTTTTAATAGAAGAAATTAAAATCCAGATTGTTATGGCAACGGCTTTATTTAAAAAAATTTTTTTATTAAAAAAAGGCTATGCGGCGGATCACAAATCAATTATATAATTTGTGTGGCTTATTTTATTAATAAGAATTTTATTTACGTATTAATTTTATTTATTAATCTATGCCTGACAATTAAGTAATATTTTTATATTTATATGGTGTATTTGGTAACGGTAAGTTTCTTAATTTTTGTAACAAATAACAATGATTGACTGAATGATTTTAGTATCTATATAGAATACTAGTCTATTTTAGCATCTATATACTTTATCTTCACTTTTAGATTATCCTTAGTTCCTTAACTATCAATTTTCATTTTGTCTTTGGAATTCCGAATTCATTTAATTTCATATTGCTTTCTTGAGGTTCATTGTATATAGGTAAATTAATAGTTGTATTGTTAATTAGTTATTACATCATTCATCTTCGTGTTTTTTATAAATTATCTATCGAAATCCAGACCAAGTTTTTACATTCAACCTTTGAATAATTCCATGTGTGTACCAATTATTTAATCTATATTAATTCCATGCATTTGCCAGTATATTACCGATCGTTCACAAATCTTTACCATTTACAGTAACTTGTTCGCGTTAATTTCATACGTGAGTATAAAGAACTTTTATTAAATATTTAAAATAACTATTCAAGTTTATGAATATTTACCATTTAACTTTTATTTTATTCACGTTAATTTAATTTATAAGCATAACGAATATTTAAAAATAAATTATTCAATTTATTTGCATGAGAGTATATAGAACGGATCTCTTGCAGTATAGGTGACACCTATTCTAAATCAACTAATTAATAATACATTTTATTAATGGTGTCATCTATACTGCGAGAGATCCTAAAGGACGCTTATTAATTTAAGTATAATAAGCTATTCAAGTTTATGAATATCTACTAGTGAGAATAAAGAATATTTATTAGCAAAAAAAAAATAAAAAATTAAAAAATAAATAAAAAATAAAAGGATTCCATTTGAAAACAAATTGTGGCTTTGTATTTTTGCAATTTTGGTGGATACAAAAGCTCGAAAAGACGATAGGAACTTATGGACCTTCTAGTACCGTTGCTCAAGATCTTGTCTGGTTCTAATGAAAAAACTTGGTATTTTGGAAAAGTTAGATCATTATTCATCATACAGTTTATTGAATGAACGTGGAGTTTTTCGATGATTTTGAAGTTTTTCTGGCAACTTTGAGTTCTTGTTGACGATATAAAATTCTTTGAAGACCTTGAAGTTCTTTGGCAATATTTCTTGAGTTCTTTGGTGATATTCTTAAGTTCTTTGATAACATTCTTTGAGCTCTTTGACTGCCTTTTTGGGTTCCTCTGGCGACTTAGATTTCTTGGAGTTATTCCGGCAATTTTTTCTAAAAGTTTTTTGGCGACTTTCTTAGAGTTCTTTAGCGACTTTCTTGAAGCTCTTTAGTGACTTTCTTAGAGTTCTTTAGTAACTCTCCTGGAGTTTTTTTGGTGGCTTCTTTTTTTTTGCCATTCTCGATTGTTAGAGCCAACTTTCTCTTGTTTTTAGTTTGAAATTTGATAACTAAAGTGTTACCAAATTTTTTTTATTACCTAAACAGTTACAGAAACTTTTTTCTTCAGATATTATTTCGTTCGAAAGTGGTGATTGGACGCAATGGGCTAGACTGATCCTTAGGATAAGTATTAGCTATTTTTTTTCTTGTTACTTTCTCTTTTTTGGCTTTTTTTTCGCCAAAATCGATAACCGAAATGTAAAATGGACCGAATCTCTTCAGGGTTTAGTTAACAGGGATTACTCTTCCTCTTTTTAGATATTTTTCGTTTAAAATCAGCGACAGAAACGTGAGAAGTTATTATTGGCACTGAGTATTTTCTTCGCTTTTTTTGGTCTTGGTTGCATCTTTTTTTTTACCAACATTCGTCGTTGGAAATATTCGTGTTATTATTATCGTTAAAGTGAGACGTTTTTGGAATCGTTATGTTTGGTTATATTTACCTTTTTTTCCTTTACTGGCGTGTTTCTCTTTTTTCCAGGTGTGATTCGTCGTTGGAGTCGTAGCTGTTGGGAATTATCGTCGCTGAATCAGTATAATTTATTCATTCTTGGAATAGTTATTAATATGGTGTGGATTAGTGTGAATTATGATATTTATTTTGCGTTAGTGTGAATTTGTTAGTTTCTCCGTGATGATACAATTTTGTAGCCCGTTACGCTTGCATTTGTTTTTATTTTTAATTTAATAGTAGTACGATTTTATCGTTTGTTACGCTTGCATTACGTTATTATTTTTTTTTAATTAAAAGTGATACGACTTCGTCAGTCAATAAAATTACATGTATAAAAAAAAAGTAAACGTAAAGTTTTTATAATCGTAAATGTAATTTTATGATTCCTTACCTAGGCTTCTAGTTGAAGTTATAGAGGAAGTGATTACGATTCTAACTCTGGTTAAAAGTTAAAATCGGCCCAGTGAATCGGGAGATATAAACGAAAATGTTTCGCAATTCTTAAAATTTCTTAGAATCGCGAAACATTTTTGCTTATATCTCCCGATTCACTGGGCCGATTTTAACGTTTTTACCAGCGTTAGAATCGTAATCACTTCCTCTATAACTTTACTTAGAAACCCATGTAAAGGTTTACTTAATAGAATTACACTTGCAGCTATAAAAACTTTATTTTATATTTTTTATAATAATATGTAATTTTATTGGTTGATATTTAAGCATGGGTCACGTGATTTTGTAAAAATGTATTTTTAAAAAAATGCATGTGATCAATTTTGATTGGTTGATCATATGGTGGCAATAAATTAACTACCACCCTGGGTGGCACCTAGACAACTCCACTGGTTTTAGTCCACTTGAGACCACAAATATCAACTGTCCTATTATCAAGTTTTACACCATGATTCCTTATGTAATCGTCAACCATTCTGCGCGTAATACATATAATATGTTGCTGGTGCCTTTGTTGAGCAAACTCTTCGTTACGGTGTAATTGGTACTGTGCTTGTTGAGGGCTATTATTATGTGTCTGTTGTTCATGATGATCATGTTGTTCAGTACCGTTAACAGCATGATTATTTACATCATTAGTGATGGTAGCATAATTAACGCCGTTACCATTGGGATTTCTGTACTTGAGAAAGCCCATCTCCTGGAGAGTACATATAATGTCTTCTCTACGAATACTCGTCATCAGAGAAATTTCGTTAATAGTAATCATGAATCTCCCGTTGTCATTATGTGACGTTTCGTCACCATTCATAGAACTTGCGCCTTCTTGGACTTTGTATAGATTGGTTGTATGTTCTTGGAGAATTTTCAGTATTGTACGTTTCCAATAAGAATGGTATCCTTTAATACCCAAATCTGATATTGGTCGTTCAGGAGATCCAATTTTATGCTCCCTTTTAGAGAGCTCGTAGCCTTATAAAATGGTTTGGAATAAATGATGTTGCAAAATTAAGTTTGGTAACGACTAACCCTTCTGAAATATAGCTTTTGATCTACTTACTGAAATCTATTAGTAATAGGCCGTACCCTCGCCTTTGATAGGGAGGAAAAACAAGAATACAAGCTAGATTGTAATTATCATACGAAATTTTTTCCTATCAAGTGAACGAGATGATAATTATTTGAACTGCATTTATAACATTGTTACCAACTTGTCATCAATTTAGATAATTTTACCTTCGAGAAATATCCGATAACTTGTTCTTCATTGCGATCATCGACCTCTGTCAAAATATAAAATAGAAACGATTCTACATCATAATATATCATTTTGTTGTCGAGAAAGAATTTTGCCAACAGGCAAAAATTCTGACAATAAAGCTAAATGCAAAAATCGAAACATAAGGGTTTCAAGTTCGGCACTGAACCGTAAATAAAGTGATAATGACATAAGTCAGCATGCCTTATGTAATTTTCCATCCACCTCGTATATTTTGTTCCTGCCTACTTCATATATCTTTTCACCTGGTGGGTATTTCCATTCGCATATAGACTATTGTTAGTAATAACAAAGTAGTAAGTACTTTTGTTCATAAACATTTTTAAATCATGCAATAAATCGTCGTAACTAACCGTGTGTCGACCATATGTTTCTTTGACCTTCATATATTTCATGCAATGTTGACATACATATATCTTTTTAACATTTTTGTACTCATCGGGGAAAGGCGAGTAGTACCAAGTCGCGATCTCATATTTTCCAAACACCACTGCATCAATGTTTCTCACTTTAGTATAGCGGATGTGTTCCATGTAAGCAAGTTTGTACCTTAAAGGTTATTCTTGAGCTAGCACGAAGGATGCATTAAATTAATCGGCGCAGCAGAAAGAGGTTAGGTTTGATTGGTTAAAGTTTAAAATCGGAGTTTAATACCGGTTTCAACCGGGTTTATTATGAAAATGTTTTGATCACATTATGTAAATAAAGGCACACTTTGACCCGGTCCAATCCCGAGTTTTGAGTAGACCCCGAGCACGTCGGTTTTCTGTGCCAAGTTATGAAATTTACTAACGGTTTGCCTTCTAGATAAAAATTTTTATCTTGAAATTGTTTTTCTAAAGATCAATCATCAAAGTAAATAAAACCAACGTGCTGAGAAACCGGCCCAGAGTAAGAAAAAGCCCCCAAGTCCGGCCCATTTGATCAACTCATATTCATGATACAATGAAATCTTAGTTGTCTCAAATTCAAATGTGCGGATGATTTTTGAAATCAACCATCCGAACATTCGAATTTTAGATAATTTCCTCAAATTAATGAATATTCGTTTCGATAAACTAAAGGGTATTACAGAAATATGTATTGTATAAAGTTGCTTGTAAGGCCATGCAAACAAATAAAATTGAAAATTGGTTTTCGTTACCTGGCTGGGTGACTTTTATAAAAATTAAAAATTTTCTCTATATTAACATATAAAATTTTGAGTATTGACAACTTGCCCTCCGGTTAACCACCCTATTATAACTTAAAAACGGCTTAAATAACTATATTTGATGCATTAAGTAAAAATGTTTAGCACTATAAAAAACCTTATTCTAACCCTAATCCTAAACTTTAACTTTTTTTAAATATTAATTCTAATTTTAATTTTAAAATTAAGTATAAATTATAGGTGGTTAAAATTTATAATCTTAACCAAGGGTTAAAATTGGTTAAATTCTAAAATTTTTTTATTCCTCGTTTTTAAATATAATACTTGCCTGTCCCAGGTAACGAGAACCAATTAATATAATTTGTATGGCCTAAGTAATGTATACAGCTGTTTGTACGTATAGATGTAAGCTAAAAAAATTTTATGAAAGTATGATTAGCAAAGCTTATAACATTTATTTTTTATGAGATCTCTTTTTAATAGTTAGGGTCAGGGTTACCCTTTTTTCATGTTAGGGTGAGTATATTCATGTTAGAGTTAGTATAGGTTATAGGTAAAATCTTTTCTTTTATGAGAGATTGACTCTTATTTACTATATTTATTTATTTATTAATTCGTTAACCTTATTTTATTGAAAACGCTCTTTTTTTTCGTTACGCATTTATTGTGTCACATGATTTTGAAATCTTTTTGGGTGGTGATTTTCCGGTCGCCGAGGCCTACTATCACATAACAGTAAAATTTTGATGACGATACTGGGAAAGATGAAGATGATGTTGATTTCATGTGATTTTTTAGCAGCCAATTAAACCGATTTTTGATTGTGGCCCACGTTAAGTCGGCCAGACCATTAATATAAAGCGAGGTTGTGAAAGATTAAACCCCCTCTCTAGTTTCCACCGAAATAAAAATTCATCCAAATTCAAAGATTATGTGAGTATCTAATCCATCGGTTTTCAATATAAATTTAAATGATATTCAGTTAGTTTATACTTGGGCTCTGTATCAAATCTTTACCAGTTTAACTTTATGCGACTCCGATCTATCTATTGTTGATTAGTTTTAAATATTATATATATTTTTTCAAGTGTTCCTAATCACATATTTTTATATATCCTTATTTTGAAATTCAAAGCACATGGCTGACTCAGGAACGGCCGATAGTCGTGGTGGTAAGTTTCAAACTTTAAGTTCGCAACCGCGAAAGGAATAAGTTTAAATTTCACATTCATACGAGATTCATACGAGATCGGCCTCAAACTCGTTCAAATGAATATCTTGAAAAATCGACTGTTTGTAATATTTTGAGTTTTTGAATAAAAAAAATTTTTGCTATAGGACGTGGTGGTTTCGGACGCGGTCGTGGTGACAGAGGCCGAGGACGGGGTCGCGGTCGTGGTCTTCGTCGAGGTGCTCGCAAGGACGACGACAAAGAATGGTAATAAAAGCAATGGTTTGAATATATAGTAGACTAATTCAATTGACGTTCGATACAATCCAGGATTCCTGTTACTAAACTTGGTCGTCTGGTCAAAGAAGGGAAAATTAAAACCATTGAACAAATCTATTTATTTTCGCTTCCGATTAAGGAATTCCAGATAGTAGATCGCTTCTTTGGTTCCTCTTTAAAAGATGAGGTCATGAAGATAATGCCTGTCCAAAAACAAACCCGTGCTGGTCAACGAACTCGATTCAAGGTTATCGTAGTTTTGAGAATTAAGATGTTGATTTTATTTATTATTCTGCACATATTTAACTGTAGTGTATGCAGGCCTTTGTTGTAATTGGTGATTCCAATGGACATGTTGGTCTTGGTGTCAAGTGCTCAAAAGAAGTCGCCACCGCTATCCGTGGTGCTATCATTCTTGCTAAGCTTTCTGTCATCCCAGTCCGACGTGGATACTGGGGTTCTTTAATTGGTGAGCCGCATACAGTTCCTTCCAAGGTTACCGGTAGATGTGGTTCCGTTATATGCCGTCTCGTCCCCGCACCTCGTGGTACTGGCATTGTCGCTGCACCTACTCCTAAAAAGCTTTTGCAATTGGCAGGTATTACAGATTGTTATACCACATCACGCGGATCTACTCGTACCTTGGGTAACTTTGTTAAGGCTACTTTCGCTGCCATTGGTAATACCTATGCTTTCTTGACTCCCGACCGGTGGAAAGATGTTGAGTTTAAACAGTCTCCATATCAAGAATTCAGTGACATTCTGGCTGTGCGTGAATTTTTGACTTTTTATGCGTTTTAATTCTACCTGGGAATTTGTGACTAACCCAAAATTAACATTTAATAGAAAGCACCTGAGAAGAGGAGGGTTTAGGCTTCCCGCAAGTTATGATTATCATATTTGATGAATTTATTTTACAAAAAGAGGCTGCGTAATCTCTAAGAGGGAGAGCAATGAATAATGTAGCGCTCTCATTGAATAAATTTGACTCCTCTATATGATTGAGTGAGAAATTTTCAAATACTTTTATACCTACTTTTTTTGATATTGACGTTAAGCACACCACGGCAGTAATATTCTCCGCGTGTAATAATAATTTTTTTAGGGTAACTATATTAACTGTTGCATTGCGCTGCTACGCAACAGAACAACTTTCATGACATTAGTCATTGCATTATACAATATCGACATTATCGCGCAATTCACGATCATGCTTCACAAGTTGTACCGTATAGCACTGCTTATAGTATCCCCATAAAATAATACCCCCATGATTAAGACCCGGGTATTATTAACCGTCCTATCGGTCTATTTCTTGAATAAGACCCTGAGGTATAACTATATTAATTTATTACTTTTCATATGAATATCCCCCAAATATAGTACCCGGTTCCATACAAAGTACCCACGGGTACTAATCAATTTCAAAAGTCAAAGTTTTGAATAAGACCCCTGGTACTATAAGCAGTGCTATACGGTAATTGGCTGTCTGTGTTTCCTGTGCTAAATTCAAATTTCATTACAATATGAAAAAAAAACTCATGATCGTATGCGCTTGCGCAATAATGTGAAATTCTAATTATCTGGAATGGAAACTTTGAAATCCCTATTGAAGCTGAATCCTGATTTGCAATCTTAAAAAATAGTTGATCCCCAATAATACCCTGGATACCTGGAAAAATTTTTCTATGACATGTTGCGGGCTAGATCACCTTCCAGTCTAATCATATGGATATTTATTTGGTGCATATTGGTAACACCAGTCTTGTAATATCTTGTAATATTGCAATATGAACAATTACTACGTCAATAAATGATAAACCATGCACCACAGAAATGTTTTTCTAAGTATTTTACATGGGAAGTGGTCTGGCCCGCGAAATACTGTAATAACGGAAAGCATTGTAAGAAAAAAATAATAATAAAGTGGTTAACATTCTTTAGAATTTTTTAATAAGGCAAGATATTCAAATTTTTTTAATTACCTATGTTAATATGCATTATAATTAATTATCAATTCACGTAAGAACAATGGTGCAAATTTCCGAAATATTGGAATCCAATTTCCCTACAATATAAAGTATTAATAGTTGAAATATAATATAAAATTCAATTATATAGGCATAAAAATATGGTATTTGGCTTTCTTTTTGTTAAAAGTCCGGTAGAATTTTCAAAAATTAAAAAATACTTAACTAAGAGCTGAAATTTTGAATAAAAAAAAAAGTCTTTTTACTATATAATTTTTGGATTCCATATTACTATTACAACCATATAAATTAAAATTTCCCGTTCTTATGTGAATTGCTACATAATTAAAAGTATATATAGTAAATATCTTTTTTTAGAAATTAGATCAATTTAAATTTTTCAGATTATATATAGTGACATTATAATTTGCATTCACTAAGTACAGTGCTAGACAAAAGTTTTCCTGCACCTATATCTGCTTACAGAGAGGTGCTACAATCTTGAAACTTTCCAAAAACTTAGTAAATAGTTAGCCTAGATGGTGTATTTTTTTTGGTAATTTTTCAATCATTAGAAAAATTTTAGATGAAAGCTAAAGTTTTGAATAATTTTTTTATAAAAATTTAAAAAATTAATTGGGTTCAATTAAAAATTAATAAAAAATCAGGATCATGTTTAAAAATATTAATTGTTTGGTATGTTTTTTTTTTTGATGTTAAGGTGTTCACTTTGGAGTTTGGCTCATTTTATTAACTTTGGTTATGAACGTCAGAGCAACTACAGGATTACTCCTGACTTTGTTATATTAATGA